CCCAAAAAAAAAACCGTAAATTTACAGGCAATGTTGTGAAGTAGATTGATTTGATGGTGCATATGCGTAGTCCTACTCCCTCCCTCAAATTATATATAATGCCTAATGTTCGAAGCATATATATGTTGTGAATAAGATTGATTTGTTGATTTGTTTGTTTATATGCAGCCAATGTTCGTTTTATTAGTTTTCATATATGTGACATGCACACATTGGTGATGTTAATATGTTCAAAAAAATACATCACCAATAAGTGCATGACACATAAACGGTGGGCATATTAACATATATCCACCGTGGGTAGGTGAGCATTACTGTTAATAGGTATCGCGGTGTTACATGACCTAACACTTACAATGATGTATTAATATAATAAATGTTTATATAAATTTATAATAACATGCTCAATGAAGTAACATAAATATGGGTGTACTGTGTGTTAAAATTTTCATAAATTTTCTCGATATATAATTTTTGAATGTGATGAGCTTAAGTGAAATGCACGCATGTTTCGAAATCTTATTTGACAAATTTTTCATGATTTATCATTTGACTTGGATTGATTTTAATTTACTTCTATTCCAAGAAGGTCGTTTTAAACCTCAAGAAAGGTCAGGTTCAATCTTAGTTTACTTTAAAGCATAATTCTAGCTCATTTAGAGACTGGTGGATGGAGGTTAATGGTTCTAAGTCTTTCAACAACATCAAAGATAGGATAAATCTCTTTACTTACCTACTTTGGTGGTTGTGGAAGACTAGGAACTTGTGGTTATTTGAGAATAGTTAGATTTCTAAGGTAAAGGTTGTGAACAAGACCAAAGCTGAGTGGCTTGAATTCAATGCTGTTAAATTAGGTGCTGCAGAGGGGATAGTTGCTGGTGTTCGTGAGATGGTTGAAGGGAATTTTTCCCAGGAGGTAGGGCAGATTTCATTATCTATCAGTGTCTCACTCCATATCAATAATCTTAGAGATATCAGAGGACATGTTTGGCTAGGAGGCAGAGTGATGAAAGATTGGGCCACTTCAGATAATCGAAGTAGTGATGACCTCTGTACAGAACTTAATGCTATCATGTGGATTTTTGCTTTGGCTAGGAAAGAGAATTGGAAGAATATGATCTACTGGACCAACTCAAGGAGAATTGTAGATGCTCTAAACAAGTTGAGTACTCTTGAAGAATCTCTCAATCTCTTAGTGGAAAATATCTTAGGTCTAGCTAGATTATTTTCTTCTTGTTCTTTTCTGTTGTTAAATTGTAATTTGAGTTTAGTTGTAGCTAGTTAGCTTTTATGTGGTGAGTATGGGGAACCTCATGTTGGCTTTATTTTTCACTCCTTTACCAATAAGTGTTTACTGGTATTCCTTTATAACTCGTTGGTTATGTACTTGTATTGAACTATTGCTTTGTAATTCGTGGTTATATTAAGTCTTTTACCGTCTTGAAAAAAAAAACCTTAGTCAGGACGCAACAGGTAGGTCAGAGGGTCGTGATTATGCCATGGGGTCCTAAGGGCTGCACAGTGGAGAAGAAGAGAACCCAAGTATGGGGAGTTAACGTGATAAGTTTATTTGCTCTAGTTAGAGCAAGTGAGCCCGCACAGGGTCAATACGATGAGGTGTCAGAAGCTCAAAACCATTAGCCTAAGAAGCCAAGACAAACCAAACAAAGTAAAGGGAGAACTCCGAGCATGCCAACTCAAGGGACCACTGTTAGTCGGTAGAACCTCGCGAGGGGTTGTCAAGGTGCGAAACTCCAAGAAGATGAGCTTGCAGGACCAAAGACAGATAGCAGAACCCCTATCAGATAACTCAGGGACCGAAAGACTGAAAATTATGTATAGCTCGAAAGCAATCTGATATCAGAAGCATAAGTCACTCTAGCTCGGACCTAATGAGAAATGGATAAAAGCATGCATGAAAGGTGCATGAACATGATAACACAAAAAGAAAGCTTTGAATTTTCTTCTCCATTAATCAATGGAATCTGAATCTTTTCTACAAATGTTTCTTGCTTTTTCTGATACATAAAACTGAGAGCCTTACACATACTATTTATGTGACGACTGAGCTAAGGGATGCAGTAGTGAGAGGGACACGTGTGTGGATCACATTCACTAGATAAGGTTTAGGTTTTCCTAGGGTACAGACACTAGTTTCTCTCTTGCTTTCCATGTCATTGGTGATGTGACTTTGATCAACAGCTCTTCTAACAGCCCCCTTCAATTCTATGCTTGATCTTGAAGTCACTCTCAACCTATTTCTTAACCAAGCATAAAATTGCCCCGAAAGAGCTTTGGTGAATATGTCTGCTACTTGTTCTGTAGCTGGAATGTGCTTAATGCTAACAATTTTGTTATCTATCTTTTCCCTTATGAAATGCAAGTGCAACTCAAGATGTTTTGTCCTTGAGTGGTTCACTGGATTACAAGCCAAGCATACAACTCCTCTATTATCCACCCATATGGTGCTAGGCTTTGAGAATTTTACCTTCAGCTCATTCAACAAAAACTGAATCCACACTTCACAAGTTACCTAAGCTGCACTCTTGTATTCAACCTCTGTAGTTGACATTGAAACTAGAGATTGCTTCTTTGATGACCAGCAAATCAAGTTCTCTCCCATGTATACACACATGACACTAGTAGATCTCATATCATCCACATCTGACCCCCAATCTACATCAAAATATCCTGTGAGTTTGAAATCTTTGCATCTGTTCAACCTCAAACCATAATCTCTTGTTCCTGCTTAATACCTTAAAATTCTTTTCACTGCTTTCAAGTGGTTGTCAAGGGGTGAGTGCATGAATTGGCACACCTTATTTACACTAAAAGCAACATTGGGTCTAGTGAGTGAGACATACTGCAATGCCACAACTATTTGCCTATAACATTTCCCATTTTGCATAGGTTGTCCATCAGTCTTTGATAGAGGTGGATGACTTACCATAAGCGTGCTTATTCCCTTGGCCCCCTTTATCCCAACTCTATCTAGGAGATCATCTATGTACTGAGACTGATCCAAAAAAAAAACTAGCGGGAGTGTTTGAAACTTGGATTCCCAAAAAGAAATGAAGTGGTCCAAGATCTTTCAATGAGAAGAAAGAAGACAGAGAAGTGATGGTGGATTTAATTAAGGAGGGATCACTGCCTGTAATGATAATGTCATCAACATATGCAAGAATGAAAATAGAGCCTCCTTTAATGTGCTTATTGAAAAGAGAATTGTCTGCTTGGAGGTTATGAAAGCCTAAGCTGTGAAGGATGGAGCTGAACTTTGATGACCAAGCCCTTGAGGCCTAAAGAGACTTATGAAGTTTGCAAACTAAGTTCTGATGAGGGTTGATCTCAAATCCTTTGGGTTAGTACATATATATGTCTTCAGTAAGATCTCCATTGAGAAAGGCAATGTCTACATCAATCTGATTAATGTGCCAACCAAGAGAAACAACAAGAGTATGGATGGTTGTAGGTTTGACCACAAAGCTGAAAGTCTCATGGTAGTCAATTCCAACACTTGTGTAAAACCCCTGGCCACAAGTCTTGCCTTATGCCTTGCCACAGTGCCATCAGAATGAGTTTTTAACTTGAAAACTCATTTGATATCCACCACATTGTGATGAGGTGGACCAGGAACTAAGGACCATGTATTGTTTCTAAGGAGAGCATCATACTCCTCTTTCATAGCAGGAACCACTGTGGAGACAACAATGCTTCTTCCACGATAGCAGGTTCTTTATGAAAATTTGCAATTGCAGACAATACTTTTGGTTTAAAAATTCCAGACATGGATCTTGTAGTCATAGCATGAGTACCTACAACAGTAGTGTTAGCTGGAACATGCTGTTCCACAGGTAAGTCTATGAAGATGTCCAATTGGTATATGATTTGAGGAAGATTGAGAAGATGCTGATGAATATTGTGAAGAGTGAGGAGTTGTGTGATATGATGAGTGATGAGAAAAGGGTAAGGGAGGTGACATATGTCCTTCAGACTGTGGTGAAGATGGTTGAGGAGTTGTAGTTGCGGATGGTAGCTGATTGATGACTGGAGGTGGGGTAGGATGAGAAACAATTGGTAACACATAAGCAGAAAAAGATTGTGATGGTGTCTGAGGTATAGGTTCAACTGGGCTGTTGTTGGCAAGGGGGAAAATGTGCTTATAAAAAATAACATGTCTTGTGATGATTATTTTCTTGTTTGGTAAGAGAACCTTATACCCTTTATGCTGAGGACTATAGCCAATGAAAATGGAAAGTAAACTCTTAGGTTGAAGTTTGTGTTTGTTGTAAGGTTTAAGTAAAGGGTAGCATAAGCAGCCAAAGGCCTTTAAGAAGTGATAGGAAGGTTCATCTTGATGAAGGGCCTGAAAAGGAGATTTGAGATGTATAAGTTTGTTTGGTGTGCGGTTGATCAAATAAGTTCCACTAGCAAATGCCTCATCCCAAAAGGAGAGAGGTAAGATAGACTGAGTGAGCAATGAGAGGCCCACTTGGACTATATATCTGTGCTTGCGTTCTGCTAAGCCATTTTGTTCAGGGACAAAAAATTCTAGATGCGATGCCTTTAGCTAAAAAAATAGGTTGAAGGAATTGAAACTCACCACCACCATCACATTGAAAAGTCTTGATTGAAGACTTATAAAGGTTCTAAACTAAGTTGTCCAGTGTAAGAAGGCAGATTTAGTATCTGATTTGGTTTTGAGCAAATATAACCAAACAAAACGAGTGCAATGGTCTATAAAGCTAATGTAGTATTTAAAACCCTTGTGAGAGACCACAGGAGCTGGTCCCCACAAATCTGAATGCACAAGGTCAAAAGGTTTAAGATTTTTTATATCAGCATCATGAAATGGTAATTTGTGGAACTTTGACTGCATACTAATATCACACAAAATATCAGACACATTTTCAATGAAGGAAATATTAGAATTCTTCAAGGCAGTTTTAACAAAGCATAGGAAGCATGACCAAGTCTTTTGTGCCAAACATCAAGGCCAACAGAATTATTTGACTTAAAGAAATTTAAGGAAGTAAGAAAACATGAAATATGTGTAGAATTGTCTGAAGATGAATGCTCTTGGGCTTTGACAAAGGTGAACCGGTAGAGACCATCCTTTAGTATGCCTTGAAGTAGGAGAGCACCGGTCTCAGGTCCTTCACAAAACATAAAGTGGGATAAAACTCAAAAAACACTGTATTGTCTTTTGCAAACTTAGAGACACTCAAAAGGGTTTTGGTTATTTGAGGAGTATGTATAAGGTTATTGAAGAAAGATGTATGAGAGGCAGTGGATGATGGAAATTTCAACATAGAATTACCTAGAAGAGCAATGTCTATATATGTACCATTTGTTGTTTGCACTCTCTCATTTCCAAAGTAGTCACTTGCTAGGCTCAGGTTGTTGAAGTCATTTGTAAAATGATGTGCAACACCTGAGTCTGGGAACCAATAAAGATCTTGAGAGCTGGTGTCACTGCTTTGAGGGCCAAGACTTGCCACATTTGCTGAGGGAAAGTTGCTGGGGGTGCTTGAGGTGGCTTGGTTCTGATTTCTTGACACAAAGTTAGAGTCAAACTTGAAGCAGCAATCCTTTGCTGTGTGATTGTTATAGTTGCATATTTGGCACCTAGGCCTGTTTGAGTTTCTGCCCCTTCTACCCCTATAGGGTCCTGCTCTCCCATGCAGTAGCGTAGCCATAAATATTTTCTATACTGGGCTGCTAAAACCAATTTGGTATACATGGGCTAAAAAATATTTTTCTAGTACTACATATTTAAATAAATCAAAAAATTAAGACTGGGCTGGAGCCCGGGTGAGCCACCCTCTGGCTATGCCCCTGCTCCCATGCCCTCTTCCTCTGAATCCTGTGGACTGTTTCTCCTCAGATCTGCCTCTATTTCCACTGAAGCCTTTGCCCCTAGTTTGAGAGTAGGTAGCAAGATTTGCAGCAAGCTGAGTACCCTCAGTGTTATTAATACTCTCAATATTGTCTATTCTGCTCTCAAAGCTCAGCAAAACAACATATGCCTCCATCATTGAGTACTTCTTAGATCTTGAAGTGAGGCTCACAACCACAGGGTTGTATTCTTGCCCCAAAACAGAAAGACGATGAAGAAGTTGGTCACTTTCCTCAATCCTATGTCCAACTGCAGCCAACATATCACAAAAGCCTTTGATTTTGTTGAAATATTCTCTCATTTTTTGCGTGCCTTTCTTCATTGTCTGAAGTTCAAGCTTGAGTTGCATCTGCTTGACTAAGTTATGGCTGGCAAAGCTTTTCTTCAAACAATCTCAGATCTCTTTAGCTGAGTTGAGGCCAACTGTAGTAACAAGAATGCTCTCTGAAAGAGATGAGAGTAGCCAAGAGGCTATGAGCTGGTCCTGCTTGACCCATTGAAGGTAAGCCTTGTTCACTGCAAACTCATTTGTGACCGAATCTCTAGAAACCTTGTCAGTTTTAGAGTGTCTCCAATTAAAAACACAAAAAGATTATAGCCTCTCAATGTGGTCAAGATTTGTTGCTCCCATATCAGAAATCTTCCTTCATTTAGCTTAATAGAATCAACTGGCTTTGGAGATGTATTAAAGGCACAGTCTGCTGCTGGGGAGCAGCCATGGGAAAGCAATAAATGAAGCTAAGAAAGAGAGAGAATCAAAGCCTAGGCTCTGATACCATAATGAGAAACAGATAAAAGCATGCATGAAAGGTGCATGAACATGATAACACAAAAAGAAAGCTTTGAATTTTCTTCTCCATTAATCAATGCAATCTGAATCTTTTTCTACAAATGTTTATTGCTTTTTCTGATACATAAAACTGAGAGCCTTACACACACTATTTTTGTGAAGCTAAGGGATGCAGTAGTGAGAGGGACACGTGTATGGATCACATTCACTAGCTAAGGTTTAGGTTTTCCTAGGGTACAAACACTAGTCTCTCTCTTACTTTCCATGTTACCATGTTTGTTTTCCATGTCATTGATGATGTGGCTTTTATCAACAGCTCTTCTAACAAGACCATTAAAGTATGTGCAAGCAAGTTAAACCAATTGAAAGAAGGATCAAAAAGTGGTAAGAAACTCTAAATACTCTATTCAAAGGTCATCAAATTCAGACAATGCGATAGAAGGACCAAACTCGAAGAAGGCAAGCTCAAAGGTTTACGGTGAAATAGTAAGACTTTGCCAGGAAGGCTAAGTTGTTGTCAAGGGGTAGAACAACAGGAAGATGAAATAGATGACCCAAGGACAATTGATAGGACCTTGAGTGGTTATGTAGAGGTTTGAGAATATCCCGTCGATGCAGAATGTCGAACATATTAGCTCGAAGGACAAGTAAAGAAAAAGACCCTGAGTGGTTAACTCCATAATCGAGTAAGAAGAAAGAACTTCAAAGCAGGTGCTTGAAGGCCTTAGATCTATGAAGTATCATGTTAAAAATACAAGCAGTCCCGAGGCGGGTGTCAGAGAAGCTAAGTTTTCAGTACAGAGGTGGGACAATGAGTAGCTCAAATGCTTAAGTAAAGCGGCAAGGGTTGGCGTGGTCAAAAAGCTTGAAAGGACTACAGGGCTCATAGATCAAATGATTAGATGTTGTTATAACTTGGTTAAAAAGATAGCAAGTTGACTACCATTTTCGCATAAGTTCGAGTAGCTCTTCCAGAGCAAGGGGGATAGACATGCAACACGTTAGACCGGCCTGAGTGGTTGGCTCAGGTATGGTCAGTTGAGATCTCAGTTCAGTTTCAACAACCATAGACGTATAAAAAGACTCCACCTCGAGCTATGAGCTTAGGTTTCAGAGCCCGCCACCTTGAGCAGCGAATTCATGTGTTTACATACTCCACCTTGGGGACATGCTCAGATGTCACAATTCGCCACCTCGAGCAATGAGCTCAGGTGTCCAAATACACTGTCTTGCTGGGACAGAACTCTGAGCTGGTTGGCTCGGGGGCCTATTTCTAAGATGGGAAGAATTCTGAGAAGGTAGCTCAGAGGTCACAGGGGTAAATGATGTGCAAAGTGGCTCGATTTTTCTTTCTTTATGTCGTTTGTTTAGTTCTTGTTTATTTTTTTTTTCATCTTTGTTGATTTGGTTTCTGAAGGTCCTCGAAGGAAACAATTGTTGATTTCCTCTGCCTGCATGTTGCTCACTTTGTGTTGAACATTTGGATATTGTACCCATTTGGGTACCGGTGTTCTATTTTGAGCTAATAGATTTTATCGATTGTCGTTAAAAAAAAAGAAAAAAAAAAGATGGCTGCCATTTAAATAAAACTAATAATACGGTTTCTTGGTAATTATTTAAAATTAAAAAAAAAAACTAATATTTTAATTTTCTTAAAGTTGCAAGTAATTTTTCAAAGTAACACTCTTATATTACACATGTATATTGTATGCTACTAATAATTTTTTTTTAAAAAAAAATAAATTATTAAATAAGTTATGAATGATGAAACTTCTTGTAATTTAAGTAGATATTAAATATAATAATAAATACTTATTTGAATAGGCAAAGGCATACAGTTGGATGATATTTGCAAGACCTGTGGTGAGGCTCCAAAAACAACTGAACATCTCTTCTTTCATTGTTCTAAATCAAAGCAGATTTGGGCCTTGACACTTGTCAGTTGGAAAGGATTAGAGGCAGATACCCAAGACTTCAGAGAATGGTGGAGCAAACTGTGCTTTATGAATGCTAATAAAGTTTTTGACTCAAGGATTGAATTGACTGCTCACATACTGTGGTGGATATGGAAGTCTAGGAACCAGTGGGTTTTTCAACTATTGCAGAGACCAGCCAAGGATGTGGTGGACATTGCACAGAAAGAATGGCTAGACTATATGGACAGAGGCTAGGCCTAACTGAGGATCAACTAGGTTCCTTGAGAATCATGGATCTTCTGAGGTTTAACTGATGTCTATAGACCTGACCAATTTTAGATGGCTGTGATTTTGAGTACAGGTGGTTGGTATTGGATGATTGTTGTTGTCATTGTTTAGCTAGTTGTACCTTGTATGTATAATGCTAATTATCTAGTTTGGATCCTTATATTTTGCTGATTCAGGTGGTTCGGTCGAGCAAGTGCTGTAGCGTAGTCTCTGTTGCTCGATGTTAGGGTGGATTGTCATTTAGGATACCACTCATTTAGGATATGTTTACATTTATGTTAGTTATTTAATCTATCGTTTCGTTAAAAAAAGAAAAAAAAAAAGAATAGTCAACAATGATTTGTTACATATCCTAGTAAGGAACATAAGGGTTGAGGTATAAAATTTATTATAAAATAATGTATGACAATACTTTTCATTTGGTGATAATATTCAAACAAGTTAACATTAGTA